TCCCAAAAGGAACAGAAAAGGCCCCAGAAAAGACGTCGGGTTACAACTGAAGGGGCACAGGGACCTCACGTGCAGTAAGCAGGACAGAAGCGAGACCGCTAGCATGGTGGACTTAGAGGGAGCAGACTGTTTCACCTGCCTGCTCACCAGGGCGGTCGGTGTTTTCTGAAAAGTCTATTGGTTCACAGGTGTGTGAAGCCCACAGCCCCTCTTTTGTATCCCCTGGAATCTTGGCAGCTTGGGCTTTTCCTTGGTGAGGATCCAGCTATCTATCCCGTTCTTCAAGGTGAAGGACTGCCCGCAGGGCTGTGGAAGGGCCTCTCCATGCGGTGGGGGGTCCACCCTCTTTCCAGGCCTCCACAAGGACCTGCTCACAGGGCAGACTCTAGGCTGACAATTATCTCTGTCGATCCACGCTTGGGGATCAACTCTTGGCAGACAGCAGGCTCCGGGGACTCAGTCTGGCTGGGTGTAGGGAACAGGGAAAGGGGTCGTTACTTGAACCTCTGCAGTGAGTCCTGGTCTCCTGTGAGCCACGGCAGCACACAGCGAATTACAGGAAAGGTAGCAAAATGAGACTGAGAAGAAGCTGAGCTTTGGGCCCCCGAGCTTGCAGCCACTTTATTGAGTCCATCGGGAGAAAGAGATGTAACAGATGACTGGGGGCAGCGGGAATCCTAGATCAGTGAGGAACTATGCAGATGAAGATTTGGTTCCTCCCAGGACGTCTTCAGCTGCTGTAATCTGGTCCTGGAGCCTCACAGCATCACCGGACCATTGAGGTCTCAGCTGTGACCGGAGGCCAGAATGGAATTATGTCTCGGAATGCCATAGCTGGCCTGTAGGAGGAGAACTAGGCCTAATCAAATGCTTTCCCCCCAAAATGATGTAGCATTGCTCCCGACAGCTGGGCCCTCAGAGGCGAGGGCAATGGGCACCAGGGCTCTGAGTGCCGAGGCCCGGAGTAGGAAGAGTTTCTTCCGGGCCTTGGCATGGGGCACTTGCTGTCGCCACAGGGGCAGCCTGGAGAAGGGAATCTCCCAAGCAGCTTCAGGGTCGGGTGAAGAGAGCCATCCCATTAGCCCCTCCAGGCCCACGATAACTCAGAACAGGGTGGAAGCACAGCTCAGGAAGAACTGGAACTGAGTAGCTGCACTATTGTCCCAGAGGAACGGAACCTGTTGCCCACTGCACCCCCAGCTACTGAGGCCCCCGTGGAACAATCCTGATCCCCTTGTGTGGGGGCCTCACGGTCCACCTCGGGTGCAGTCATGGTGCTCAGGGGTGACCTCGTCCCTCTCTGGACCAGGGGCAGGCTCTCTTCCAGTGCCAAGGGTCTTCCCCCACGTTCTGGCAGGCCCGACATGCCTGTGTGCTTGCTCTAGCGCTGTGACTCGCTCCCCTCCCTCTGGGTCACCTCAGTTTTCCCCAGCACTGTGAGCTCTGTCATGAGCCTCGTCATACAGGGTGGCACGGCCTTTGCCGGCCTCCTTGTCCTCGTCCAGTTCTCCTTTGTCCTCTGATTCATCACAGTTGTTGAACACCGAATCTGCTTCATTGACCAGTTGGCTTGGTTTGTGGGCCCAGTTGCAAGTGTTGGACCTTTTTCCTGCTATCCGGAGCTGACTGACTGACAAAGTACTCCCTAGGACACTCTGACCTCCAGACTCAGACTGCAGATCCGTGTGTTTACAGAGGGCCTCTTGAAGCCACAGCAGAAAAGCAACTGGACTCTCATTCGGGCCCTGACTAACAGACCTGAGCTTATGGTGCTTGCAGGTTTGGGCAGCCCTTGTCACACACCAGCTAACATGGCCCTGACATCTAACTTTTCGGCTTCTCCGCCCCTGTGTTTCAATCCCACTCAGGCCCTTCTTGGGACCCAAATAATGCAGCAGCCAGCTGGTTATCAGAGGGTAAAGCGGCAAAGGTGTTTGCTGCCTTTCTACGCCTTCCCCTTCCCACTGTGGTACCACAGGAGATGAGGATGGGTGCACATCTCCCCAGTCAGATCAAAAGCCTCTGTTAAGAGGTCAAAAACCATCAGCAAACTTGCGAGGATCCTCAGAAAAGCTACCCAGTTTTTTCTTGCACTGTTGAATGTCTGTAGCTGAAAAAGGAACTAACATGCTAACTGCACCCGCTGTACTTGTCACCCCTTGAAGAGGTGGAGCAGTGGTGGGCTCGGATATAGGGTTCCCTGAATCCGGGCGCTATGGTAGTGGACCCAGACCTGGTGTGGGGAGGACTCTGGAGACGGCCTGTATCTCCTGAGGGCACTGACTGAGCAGGGGGCTGAGACGCAATCTGTGGGGAGGAGGAGCTGAGGGCAGGGAGTCCCCTCGGCCTCAGCTCCTGAGGCATGGGGACTGCTAGGGCAGAGCAGGCCTCTGGTACAGGCCGTAAAGCCTTGAACATAGGGCACCTCTGACCATTTCCCCCTTCCTTACAGTACAGATATCATTGAAACATGGCACTGTACTTCAGGCTGCCAAGAGGGGACACGTCTCATTTTCCCCGAGAGGACACAGGGCCACTGTTACTGCACAGGGACAGAAGACGACCTTTCTGAAGGGTCTCAGCATGCAGCTCCTTCCACAGGTTAAGGATGGAATGAGAAGGCACAGCCAAGGCATTTCTCACAATGGCTCTGTAGGTAGGAGAGGCAGAACAAGGGTTTAGGATTTTGGCAGCTGCTCTCCTTGGACCCACTGGATTCCCCTATAAACACAACTCCTCTTCTGGCTGCAGATCAAGGCCCAACTGGGATGCCTTACTGGTTGGATGACCCTTAGCCAACTAAAAAGGGAACAAGACCCAGCCCTGGAGAAAACTCACCTCACTACATCAAGCCACAAAGCACACACATCTGGTGATAAAAATCTCAAAATGAAAGTCAGGCATGATGTAAATTCAGTTCACAAATACAGGTTACACAGCCTTTTAGATAGGAGGCTAAACTTAAAGCCACAGTTATTACAATGAAAGCAAAGCTGAATAAACAGTGCAAACCAAGATCAGCAAACTACCCCAGGAAGTGACAGCTCTAGGCGGGCTTTAGGAACCAGGGGAAATCAAGACAGCTAGGGCTGGCGGAATTTTGAAAAAGACAAAATTTTCTCTTCCCATGCAGGGAGTCACTGTTTCTGTTAACTCTTTTTCTGAGCTATCTAGAACCAACAACTAAAAAAGTGGAACACTGATGGCCAAAAGCCTGAGGGGTAGGGACAATCAGAAGAGAAGGAAAACTACTAAAACCAGTGGAAAGGAGGTGCTCCATGTGAGTCCGTGACCCGGGAACGCACAAACACCCTGGCGCCAAGCAAAGGGCTGCTCAAGTTCAGGGCAAGTTACCAAGGACTCCACTGAGAAAATCGATAGTTCAGGTGGGCGGGCCCATGTCCCCTGGCCCTCTTCTGAGGGCGACTATGCCCAACCACTCACTGATGGCTGCCTCTCCCTGCAGTGCTGTCTCACGCCCATCCCCGCTGAGGCCTGCGGCACAGCTTCCCAGATGAACTTTCCACATAGCGTGATCAGCATCAGGATATCAACCCAACTGACCGGCAGGGGTCTCCTGTCTCCCTTAAAGACAGAAGCCTGGCCGGGGATTTAGCTCAGTGGTTTCGCCACCTGCTGCGCAAGCACAAGGACCCAAGTTTGATCCCCAGTACCAAAAAAAAAAAAAAAAAGAAGCCTTTTTCCCCACAATCTAGTCTTCCCCACACAGTCAGGTCACCACTTACCCAGCACCAACAACTGTCTAGGGCACTTGTAAAAGGAGATGAGAGGAAAGATGGCGCTACCCTCCTTTGTGGCTGGGTTGCTGGTTGCCCACTTCTGCTCAGGCCTCTGAAGCTCTCTGGGCTACCAAAGCCTCAGATGTCTGCTGAGGTCTCTGGCCACAGTGCACTGAGGTCCTTTGGCTCAGTGAGGTCTCCTTCGGTCCAGTGATGTTCTCCAGGCTGGCTCGCCAGATCTTGCAGTTGAGTGAGCCAGTAATAGTCCAGGTGCTTGTGGACAAGGAAAGAATCACCAAGGTACACCAAGTAACACATAGCTATGTTTACTGAAGATCACAGGAAGTTGGGCTCAGGGCCAGTCCAGGCCCACAAACACAGACCAAGGAAGATGCCAAGGTGACAGAAAGGCACTGCACACAGGTGAAATGCAGCACCAGCAGCAGGCAAAAGAGAGGCTAGTGACTCAGGCTTTCAGAATTGAAAGGCCAGATACCTCTGCTCTAGCCTCCCACTGAATTACCCAATGTGCCTGTGCTCTGGCCGAGAGCATCAGCGATCTCCTAGGCTTTTGTTATTTCATTTCCTACCTCTCTTAGGATAATGGAAGCAGGTATAACCATTGGATGCTGTGTACAGTTAGATGGAGGGAAGCCAGCGACTCACTCAGCTCCTTTGTTTCTAACTGTACTAAGAGGACTGTTTAGCAGAAGAAACCCACAGCCTGAGCCAGGAGGAGAGCCAGGTTTTCCACCATGTAGTTTTTGTTCCCCACCATGTCTTCCTGTATCTACTCTGCTCCCACTCCAGGATGCAGCTCCGGTGAATGGCACATTCAGGGCTCAGCACGTCTCTGCTCAGCATCACCTGCAGCAGGAACCCAGAACATTTCCAGGGTGGGAGACAATGGCCAGGGTGAGGACCACCGAGGTGTACAGTGGATGGGCTGAGGGAGGAGGAGGCCATGGGGAGGCCCTGCAAGGAAGGACTGGCCCTTGGCACCCCCACCCGGGAGGGGCAGTGCAGGAATGCTCAGGTGTACTTGCTGCTGTGTGCTGGGCCTTGGTGAGGTGAGGACAGATCAGGAAGACAGCAGATGGGGCAGGGGAGACCTGGTTTCTATGTGAAGAGTATGCAGAGAACCAGGGGCCTGCCCTGCCCCACCCTTGGGCAAACCACAGCCAGGCTCCTTAGGCAGGCAGTTCCCCTTCCTGTGAGCTGCTGACGTGACAACCCTGTGACTGGGAGGCCCAGCCTAGAAGTAGTCACACCCTGTGTGTGTTGCCTGCCAGGCACTGTGTTCTCAAGCTACATGGACAGGGGGAGTGTGACAAGCCATGACCCCCAGCCTCACGGCGCTGCTCTGCCTGGGTGAGACTGGAAGAGGGGAGGGGACGCCCTGCTCTGGGAGGGGCCCCGGGAACCCACCCCACAGCCAGCCCTGGTCCATCAGGAGACCAGGGGCTCAGGAGGCTCCGGGGAGGAGAGGACCTGCTCAGGCTCCAGGGCCAACCTCTCACAGGGAGCTCTCTTCCAGGGCTGAGTCTGGGCCCCAGGACCCGAGGGCAGGCAGGTGAGTGTGTCCCCAGCTGTGCTGGTCCCTCCTCCTCCTGGGGACAAGGGGCCACCCCTGGGCAGTGGGGAGGGAGAACAGCAGGTGTGGGCTGGTGCTGGGGAGGTCTGGAGGGTCCCGGGGCTGAGAGCTGGGATCTGAGCAGGGAGGAAGGGCCTGGGCCCCAGCTGTGACTCCCTGCAGGGACCCTCCCCACCCCCAGGCTCTGGGCTGAGCCAGGACCTGTGATACCATGGGGGAAGCCTGTGACCCTCTGGTGTGAGGGGAGCCTGGAGGCCCAGGAGTACCATGTAGATTACGAGGGAATCCCAGTGCCCTGGGACAGACAGGCCCAACTGGAGCCCAGGAACAAGGCCAAGTTCTTCATAGGATCCATGACACAGCACTATGCAGGGCGATATCACTGTTACTATCGCAGCCCTGCTGGCTGGTCAGAGCGCAGTGAGCCCCTGGAGCTGGTGGTGACAGGTGAGAGGGCTCTCGGGGTCCCGGCCCCAGGCTCTGCCCTCAGGAAGGGGTCTGCTCTCAGGGGTGTCGCCCTCACGGCCCAGCCCTGGGGACAGTGGGGGAGGTGTGAGTCCATGTAACATGCTGCCTCCTGCTCTCCTAGGAGCCTACAGCAAACCCAGCCTCTCAGCCCTGCCCAGCCCTGCAGTGACCTCAGGAGGGACCGTGACCCTCCAGTGTGGCTCATGGCTAAGATTTGGCAAGTTCCTTCTGACTCAGGAAGGAGAAGATGGGCTCTCCTGGACCCTGGACTCACAGCGAGGCCCCAGTGGGCAGTTCCAGGCCCTGTTCCCTGTGGGCCCTGTGACCGCTGGCCACAGGTGGATGTTCAGATGCTACGGCTATGACAGGAACAATCCCCAGGTGTGGTCGGAGCCCAGTGACACCCTGGAGCTCCTGGTCTCAGGTGAGGAAGCCCCAGGCTTGTTTGATTCAATTTTTGGCCACGAAGCAGTTTGGGGGGAGCCTTTTCTTCAGGACAGCCACAGGTGAGAGAGAGGACGAGGGACACAGAGCTCCTGACTCACAGTCCCCAGGTGTCCTAGTTACTTTTTCTCATTGCTGAGATGAAATACCCAACTCACAAAGTTAAGGGAGGAAAGGTTTAGTTAGCTCTGTTTGTAGAGGTTTCAGTCCATAATCAGCTGGCTCCATGGCAGAGGGGCATCACAGAGGAGAAACAGTTCATGGTGGGCAGTGGGCAGCAAAGTGACCAAGACACCTGCAAGTGACAACAGCAGTGTCTTTCTGCCCGTTTGATAGTCTACCTAAGCTACCTGGCTTAGGGTGGGTACCAAACCAATCAGTGGACTACTTCATTAATCACATGCTCTCAATCCTAGCGTCACACACTAGATCCAGCCACCTCTGAAGAAGCCCCACCTATGACTGCGTGAGGCTTTGGGGGGACAGCTAGACACAAGCAGAACACCAGGTGTGAGAGACAGGGAGACCCCCAGGGCAGGACGGGGGGGCAGGGCTGTGGCAGGAAGCAGCCCCTCAGCCCAGGTCCTCCTCCCCCCAGGGCTGTCCAGGAAGCCCATGGGGGGTCATCTGGAGGGGGACTCAGCCCTAGAAGGGCAGAAAGCCAATGGGGTCCTCCCAAGCATGGTCATTTTCATTGCCATCATTGGAATCCTGAAGGTTCCAGGTGGGGAGTGGGAGAGTCATGTTGAGGCCACAGGGCAGAGGAGAGTAAGCAGAGACAAGGTCCCCAGGGACCGTGTCCTCTTGTGCCCATTCCCAGGATTCTCTGGGGGCCCCATCCCCCCACTCTCAGGACCCAGCCCTGCAGCAGGTGAGTCCAGGGCCCCTGTCCCGAGTGTCCCATGTCTAGGCTGCCTGGGGACTCAGACCATGTCAACCCTGGTTCCAGCCTCAGCTCCACTTGTGTCCAGGGGACTGGGGATCCGGCAGAGATGTGGGGAACCCAGGTCCCCAGGGCTGAGAGTCAGGGTTGCATGAGGGATGGGTGAAGGCAGAGGGAGATGTTGGGGTCCAGCCTGGGGGAGGAGCAGCAGCTGAAATGGGGAGCAGGGAGCCCAGCCCCTCACCTCCCCAGCCCACCCAGGAGGGCCTGAGGATCAGCCACGCAGCCCCCCAAAGTCAGGAAAACAGGCTGGCTACGGTGAGTGAGGGCTCTGCTGGGGGAAGGGGTCCGGTGGCAGGGGCTGAGCTGTGAGGCCGCTGCAGCCTCCCTGGACATGCTGCCTTGGGCCAGGCCCGCCAGTGTGGACCTCAGTTTCTCCAGGTGCAAGGGAGGGGCCTGGCCCTGACCTTCAAGTTCCTCCCAGTGCTGACCTTGCTGTGACCTTTTGGAAGGGAGGCCTCCCAGGGAAGCCTCCAGGACCCCACCCTGCACAGTCTGTAGGGAGCAGGAAAAAGGACGACACCAGAGACCCCTGCAGCCGGTCCTGGCCTCCTGTGAGCCACTATAACACAAAGCTAATATGAATAAAGAAGAAAGAAGACATAGAGAGAGAGCTGGGTCTTGGGGCTGATCGGGGCTGCTTTGGGCAGCAAAGACAAAGGCCCCCAAGGACAGCCAGGATTTACTGGTTACAAGCATGGGAAGAAAGTGAGCAGGGTATGTTTTGAAGACATCTAATGATATAAGGCCAAACATCTGGCATGATGGCACCAAGCAGGGCTGTAAGGGAGGAGACACTGCTATCTTGCTTGGATAGCACAAACTGATATTGGGACCAGGTGCAATTAGCAAGCAACCCATCAGGTCAGTGAGAAGCCATAATTCAGGGGAAAGGATTTTAATTGGGGTCACACTGACCTCAGTTGCACATAACTGGGCAGAGTCCTGCCACTTCACAGACCAGGACTTAGGCCTCTATGGCAGCCATTTGGGGAGGGGCTATACTCACTCAGTCTGCTATCTGACATGCCCATTTGAGTCACATAGAGCTTCAGTCTGACTCCTGATATAAACAATGCAGCTGACTGATGGAAAGCAAGAAGCAGGTGCCACTCACCCCAGTAGTGCTGGGTGGGGTCATCTGCTACAGTGGTCCTGTGCCCTCTGTGCAGTGCCAGTGACATTGTGCGGGGAGGGGCGCGGGGCCACAGCAGGCATCAGGCTCCTTCCCTCCAGCTCAGCTCTGGGGAGAACAGGGGTGGAAGGCAGACTCCCGGGTTCAGTCCCCAGCTCTGCCACTTCCTGCTGGATGACCTAGAGCAGCTGATTCCCCTCTCTGAGCCTGTTTCCTCATCTGTAAAAGCCTGGGTGAGGGTGGCAAGGACACACTGCAGGACTGAGTTTGAGCTGAGGAATGCAAAGACCCAGCATGTGCCTGGCACATAGTAAACCTCACTGAGTGGTGTTGCGCCTCACTCACAAATTCATGGCTACATTTCCCTCCCCGACTCCGTCACTCTGCCCAGGACTGGGAAGGCACCTGAAGGTTCTGATCGGGGCCTCGGTGGCCTCCGTCCTGCTGCTGCTGCTGCTCCTCCTCCTCCTCGTCCTCCGACACTGGCGTCAGGGCGAAAGCAGGAAGGCGGGTGAGTGGGGACAGGTGAGCTGGGCCTCGGGGGGTTGTGGGTCCCCCGTGGTCCAAGCCAGGCTGGGCTCAGGGCACGGGCTAAAACCCAGTCTGAGGGGGCCAGAGAGCCTAGGATCCCCTCAGAGCCCAGCTCGGAGTCCAGAGCAGAGCACCCCGGCCCGGCCTCATCCCCACAGGAGTCTCGGGTGTGCGCTGAGCTTCCCCTCCTCACCCGCACTCACGCCCTGGTCAGTGAGGCCCAAGGCTTCCTTCCTCCCCACGGGGCCTGGCCGTGGTGGTTCCGAGCCTCCTGGTGAGACTCTGTCCATCCCCAGCCCAGAGAGAGGCTGACTTCCCACGGCCTGTGGGGGCCACGGGCCCAGTGCCCCAGCACGGAGGCCTGCAGAACAGGTACTTCCTGCCCGGGGACCCGGACGCCCGCCAGCCACCCCCACGGCCCTGACACCCCTTGTCTCCCCAGCTCCGGCCCAGCCGCCACCACCCAGGAAGAAAACCTCTGTGAGAGGGAGAGGGGCAGGGTGGGGGGTACCCCGAGCTCTCAGCATCCCAGGGGCTGGGAGTCAGACTGAGCCTCCACACAGCCTGGGGACCTCAGCACGGCTCCCTGGATCTGTGTCCCCAGCTGGGCCGGGGCTGGGGCCTGCGGGGCCGAGAGACCCCAGGGACTCTGGGCAGGAGGGGACCCCTTGTTCTGTCCCTGCAGATGCTGCCGTGAACGACTCACCGCCTGAGGACGGGGTGGAGCTGGACGCTTGGGTGAGGCCCTGTCCCCCTGCAGGGCACAGGGACTTCCTGTCACTGCTTTAGTCCAGGGACACTGCTCTGTCCTCCAGGCCTCAGCTCTCAGGGACCTCATGGCTGAGCCCTCCCTTCTGGAGCCCTGGCCTCCTGCCTGCTGTGACCCCACCCTCTGCTGGCTTTCTGTGACCTCGGGGTGCCCTCCCTCTGTCCCCTTCCTGGCCCTCATCTCTGTCTGTCTGGCATCTGCTCCTGGGCCTCAGAAGGACCCTGAGGGGATGAGCCCCCCACACCCCTGAGGAGCCCCCCATGCCCTGGAGCCCAGGGACCAGGCTCAGTGTTAGGATGTGAGGCCAGCACTGCAGGAAGGAAGCGGCCAGACCCGCGGAGGCCTCGGGAAGCCCCTGAAGTCCCCTGAGGCAGGGACAGAGTCTAGTTTAATTTCTGAAGGATCCCTCTGCCACCGAGTGGGAAGCTGGCTGGAGGAGGCAGCGGGAACCAAGCAGACCCCGTCTGCCTCTGTCTCCCTGCTGCAGAGCCCACCTGATGAAGACCCCCAGGGAGCGGTATACGCCCAGGTGAAGCACGCAGCACCCAGGGGCAGAGGGGCCGCCCCTCCCGCGGCCCCGTCCGGGGAGCTCCTGGACACCAAGGATGGACAGGCAGGGGAGGACAGGCAGACGGACGCTCAGGTGGGTCCCGCGCCCCCAGGCCCCAGGCCCCAGGCCCCAGGCCTCCCCAGAGCCAAACACGCAGCTTCCCTCCCCCTCTCCCGCAGGCTGCAGCCCCTGAGGGTCCCCAGGACGTGACCTACGCCCAGCTGTGCAGCTGGACGCTCGGACGGGGCACAGCGGCGCCTCCTCCCTCCCGGCCCGGGGCCCTCCCAGCCGAGCCCAGTGTGTATGCTGCCCTGGCGTCCTCGCCCCGAGCCATCCCCAGGGACACTGAGTGACGCCTCGGCCAGGGACCGACAGAGCTCCAGAGCTGCAGACCTCCTGAGACTCACCGGCCGCACTGAGAGAACTAAGTGAGCTTCGTGTGCTGGAAACAAAGCCACAGATAAGGCTGAGGCAGTGAAATCACAAGTTCCAGCCCAGCCTGCACTACATAGAAACACCTCATTGCAAAAGTAACTCAATCAATCAATCAATCACATTCTAAAACCCACGAAGGAATTTCAGAAAACACCTTTTAAAAAGTCGACAAAGCCAGCAATGGTGTCCCACACCTGTAAACCCACCGCTCCGGGAGGCTGAAGCAGGAGAACCGCTAACTCAAGATCAGCCTGAGCAATTTAATGGCTTAGCGAGAACTCAAGATAAAATTAAGTGTTACCAGATTCTGGGGCTCATAGGCTCTTCCCTGGGATTCTTTCCAGGTTCTTGTCCTGAACAAAGAATTTGGACTAGAACGTGCAAACGCTAGCGAGGTTTTACATTTAATAAAGGTGTGGAAAGAAGCACCCTCTGCGGCGTGGGTGTGGCGCAGGGACCATGAGGCTCGCTGCGCCATCTTTTGTGTTCCCCCTCTGACGTCAGATCCGGGCCGACCCATCAAAAACCTGGTTGATTTTCTCCTAGAAGAATTGAAGATAGCACTTCCTGATTGGTCCCAGGTACAGGGCTTGGGAGGTGGTTTTTGCGCATGCGTTCTCCATCTCCTTGATCGACAGGTTAGGCCCACTGGGCCAGAGGGCTGGCCACGCCCTAATCTCCTGCGTTTGCAGGGCTGCAGTTCTTTCCTTCCTGGCCACCATGATGTGGGCCCGACCACGTGCCATTCTTGCCTCGCAGCTGGCCAACCACGCAAGACCTGAAACTTCTGAATCCTTGGCGCCTTCCCACCTTGTGTGAGGAAGCCCACCCCGCCTCGTGGCGAGGACAGGGTGGATGTCAGCGGCTTGCAGCCAGTTTGGAGGTGATGTGGTCCCCGCTCCACACCGGTGCCGCCCCCTAGTGGTCAGGACTTTTAGCGTGGCGGAAGCCGGTGACCGGAAGGGAAGAAACATTTCCTGGGGGAGATAACCTCGGGGTTCCTTTGCTCCTGGTAAATCTGAGCTCTGGTTTCCCTTGAGTAATCTAAAGTACAATGCGTGGTGCAAATGGCAAAAAAAAGGGGGGCTGGGGTTCGAGCTTGGTGCAGCGTGATTCAGTCACAGTGAGAAAAAAGAAAGAGGGAGAGACAAAGGAAGGAAGGAGGGAAGGAAGGAAGGGAAGGGCCAATGTCTCCTGCACATATAGCCAATATATAAATTCAGTAGTCATCCAGACTTCAGCTTTGAAGCAAAATATAGCAGATGATGCCTCTCTATTCCCTCAGCCCAGTGAGGCTCCTTTTTCATCCACTAGGTTTGTGATAATTTGTTTCCGCAGCGGTTATGAAACTGATACAATTTTGCGGGGGGGCAGGGTCTCACTACGTAGTGCAGGCTGGTCTTCAACCCACTGTGTAGCCCAGGTGGTCTTTTGTTTTGTTTTTTGGTACTAGGGATCAAACTGGGGTCCTTGTGCTTGCAAGGCAGGCGGCGGAACCACTGAGCTAAATCCCTGGCCCTAGGCTGGTCTTGAACTCACAGAGATCCTCCTGCCTCACCCTTCCCAGGGCTGGAATTGTAGGCATATGCCACCATCAGGACCACCACCACCCAAGCCAGGCGTTGGTGGTCATGCCTATGATCCTAGCATTGAGGAGGCTGAGGCAGAAGGATTGCTGCAAATTTGAGGCCAGCCTGAGCTACATACCAAGACTGTATCTCAGAACAATAAATAAATAAATAATAGAGAAGCACTGGGGATGTAGCTGCAGCTGCTGAGGGGTTGCTCAACATGAAGCGTTTCTCAGAAACCAAACCCTTCCTCCCCTGCTGACCACAACTTCCCAGCAAGGCAGAGAATACAGAAGCTGTGTCCTCCTGACTATGAGAACCAGAACTCCAATGCAGGGTCCCCCAGTGCCCCTGCCCTGAGGCCACACACCCAGTCCCCACTCAGGCACCTGCAGATGGGACACAACATCCAGAGCCCTAAGAGGTAATCCCAGCACTCAGGAGGCTGAGGCAGGAGGATCACTGAGATCACTGAACTACAGAGCAAGAAGCTGTCTAAAAAAATAATCAATCAATAAATATATAAATAAAAAGAAAAAGGGCTGAGGACATAGCTCAGTGTGAAGACCGTGGGTTCAATTCCCAGTAGCACAAAAACAAAGCCAGGAAGTTCGCCCAACACCCAAGCCTTGACCCAGCCCCCGGAAACCAACTTGATTCAGCCCAGCCCCACACCGAAGGCCCGGGACCCCCCTGGCTCCTGGCCCGGTCACAGCGGGGAAGACCTGGACCTGCACTCACCACTTTCCCTGCCCGGAAAAGGCCCTTCCACCCCAGGTGCAAACAGCCGGCTGTGCGGTCCCTGCAGGCCACTGGGCTGCAGCCCACCCGAGACAGTGACACCCTCTGGGCGCTGCTCACAGCCCAAGCCAGCCGGGCCAGCCAGGCCTCTCCTGCCCACCTGGCCGCACCTGGAGGCAGAGCCCAGGTCGGGCCCGGCTTCTTTCCACTGCTCACGGCTGTGTGCTGGGGGCAAGGACGACACTGAATGGAACACAAATCGCACACTGTTCGTTCTGGTTTATTCTGTGGCTGAAAAACTAAACAGTCCTTCAGCTCAGAAGGAAGTGGTGTGGTCCCAGGGAAGGCAGAGAGCCTGTCCTGGGCTCAATTCCTCTACTGAAAAAAAAAAAAGCTATTTTAAAATAATTTCAGGCCCCAACTATGGAACCCAATTTGGAAAAGGGTTTATTCAACAGGCAATGGTGGCACACACCTGTAATTTCAGCACTCTGGAAGGCTGAGGCTGGAGGATTGCAAATTGGAGCCCAGCCTGGGCAACTTAGTAACCTGGAGAAACCTTGTCTCAAAAATTCAAAAATAGGGGCCGGGGATCTAGCTCAGTGGTACTGCTGCCTGCCTTGCAAGCATAAGGTCCCAAGTTCAATCCTGGGTACAAAAAAAAAAAAAAGCCATCCGTGAATATTTGGGCTGGGGATGTAGCTCAGTGGTTTTGCCACCTGCTGCACAAGCCCAAGGACCCGAGTTCGATCCCTG